TCTATAACATATGGTCCTTCAAATCGTGGAAAAAATTTGGCAGTTTTATCTTCTGGTGCTGAAGAAAGTGAATGCTTAATTTTTAAAACTTCATCCCCTACTTTATAAGTTACTCCCCGTCGTTTCAAATCATAATAGAGCTTCTGTTTTCTTTGTGCTACTTCCGTATTCTTTTTTGCTTCTTTTATTAGTTTTTCTATATCACCCATTTTAAATTCTGGGGCTCTTTGTTGAATACTTCCGTATTCTTTTTTGCTTCTTTTATTAGTTTTTCTATATACCCATTTTAAATTCTGGGGCTCTTTGTTGCACATAAAATAATTTATCTAACGGCGTTATAATCTTTCTGCCTAAAAATAACTCAGCAGGAGTTTTGCCCGTTGTATCATGTTTTGCGGTCCTAAGGGCGAAAGCAAATTCATTGACATAGTTATCCCAGCTTTTATGAAAATTTTTAACATAACTACGGATAATTTTCACTATATTTCTATTGACCCGTTCCGCTATATTTGATTGCGGCCGATACGGGACCATTTTTAAATGACGTATGCCCAGTTTTTGGCACATGTCTTCAAATATATTACTTACAAATTGAGGACCATTATCCGATATAACTTTTAGGGGCGCCCCGTATTTTAAAATATATTTATTTAAAATAGAATCAGTAACTAATTTCGCGGAGGCTCGTTTTAAGGGAACAATTTCGGTCCATTTACTAAAATGATCAACCATAACAAGGAGATAGCGACTTTTATTTAACTGACTTTTTGGGAAAGGGCCCAATAAATCGATGCCAATTATTTCATTTGGAAATTCGGATTTAATACTATTTAGAAACCCGGCCGGGCGGAAATTAATATAATTAACTGCTTGACATGTTGGGCAGGACTGGACATACGCCCTTGTTAACTTTTGCAGTTCAGGAAAAGTAGACTGCCTCGCGTACGCGTTGGATAGTTTTTCGAATACCAGCATGAGAAGCTAAAGGGCTGTCATGGAGCTCCTGCAGGATATTTAATCTAAGACTAGCTGGGATAACAGGTCGAAATTCGTTGTTGGAATTCGTAGTTTTTTGTATAGAATAATAGACCATCTATTAGTTCGTAATGGGCCGCCCTATTTCTTATCGCCACAATATCTTGGTGGCTAAAATTTTCAGGATCCTTTAAATACTCATAAATGCTTCCAAACTCAGGATCCTTACCCAGTTCGGTTATTACAGTTTCTCGGGAATTTATTGTACATGCTGTGAGCATTGCCACCTTTACGGTATTACCTTGTTCATCTATTTTAATTCTTGATAGGGCATCTGCTACGATATTTTCCTTTCCGGGGGTATGCTTGATTACCAGATTATATTCTTGCAGCTTGAGTGCCCATCTTATTAACCTTGGGGATAAATTTTTCCCTGAGTACAATCTAGTTACCGCCGCATGATCAGAGTACACTGTTATCGGCGCCTTTCCAAAATAGACTCGGAACTTTTGCACTGCTAACAGAACTGCAAGTGCCTCTCTCTCGGTCGCGGAATAGTTTCTTTGTGTTTGATTTAAAGTTCGGCTAAAAAATGCCACGGGCTGCTGATTTTGCGAAAGTACCGCTCCTACCGCTCCTATACCGCATAATCCGAAGCATCCGCTGAAATTTCTAAATTCTCATCCTTTTCAGGAAATTTCAACACAGGGGCTTGCGTTAATGCTTGTTTTAATTTTTCGAAAGCACTATTGGCTTCGGCCGTCCACGAGAATCTTGCCTTTTTCCTTTTTAATTTTAACAATGGCTCAGCGATAGCTGCAAAATCTTTTATAAAGGACCTATAATATGAACAAAGTCCTAGAAAAGAAGAGAGCTTCTTTGCCGTGTTTGGAGTCGGATACTTTTGTACAGCGATTATTTTTGATTCGTCTGTCTCGATTCCTTTTTTGAGATATTTTGTAACCTAAATATTTTAATTCAGGGGCTGCAAATTTGCACTTTTCGACATTAACTTTTAGACCGGCCTCATTTAATAAAGAAAACACCTGTCTTAAATCCTGTACATGTTGGTCGAGATTATCACTAGTAATAATGATATCGTCTAAATAGATAAATGTGGACTTTCCAAGAACAGGTCTTAACACAATGTCCATGCATCGCTGAAATGTTGCCGGGGCCCCTGAAAGGCCAAACGGCATACGCAAAAATGCATAAGTGCCAGACTTGGTTATAAAAGCAGTCTTAGGCACGTCCTCAGGCCTAACCCCTATTTGAAAATAACCAGTCGTTAAGTCTAAAGTCGTCATAAATTTGGTTGATTTTATGTTCCTTAGAATTTCTTCTTCAATGAATCGGTAACGGATATACCGGATATTTAGTTATGGAGTTTAATTTACGGTAATCAATAGCGAATCTCCACCTTTTTGGATGCGTCAAAGGATAGTCATTATTTTTCTTACATAAAACCACCGGGCTAGCATAACTACTTGAGATGGGCGTTATGATCTTTTTACGTAGCATATCGGTAATATGCCATTCTATAATTTTTTCCTTATTCTTATCATACCGGTATGGTTTTTGGCGAACTGGCATTGCATCTCCGGTGTCAATACTATGGTTAGTAACCTGAGTAAATCCTGGAATATCACTAAATAACGAAGCAAATTCACTTACCACTTGTCGGATTCTTCCTTGCTCGTCATTAGGTAGGTGGTCAAGATTTACCATCGGCGGTTCAGCCTTTTCTGTACGAACTGGTTTCATTGTCAGCTTAAGGGACGCTTCATTAAAATCCAGCGTAGCTTGTGCGTCTGAAAGAAAATCTATTCCTAATGATTATATGTGCTTGCAGATTCTTTACTATAAAAAACATCACCTTTACTTGTTCGTCCTTGATACGGATATACAACGGTACTTTACCTATGCACTTACATTTTTCTCCTTGCGCCGCTAACACTGTCGTATTATCCGAATTATATATGCGGTATTTGCGAAAATACTTCCTAAAAAAATCTTCTGCCACACAGGAACACTGCGCGCCGGTATCCAGGAGTGCGGTGGCTGGGATATTATTCACCAACACTTCAATCTTCGGAAGAGTCAAATTTTTCACCATTACTGTATTTAACTTGTAGGAAGAGGGGTTTTCGTGGCCTTCGGATTTCCGCACCCTCCCGTCAGCAGAAATCCGTTTTAGTTTAAATTATTTTTCATTTCCGTGCTTTCCTTCTTTTTCCCCTGGCCTTGAGACTTTTTTTCCTGGATTGCTATTGAACTGTCGACGTTCGCCGGCTGTTTTTTGAATGCTCGGGTTTCCTTGCCCACTGATTCGCTTTGCTTCCGTAGCCGTGTGCTTGAGTTTGCTGTAGTCTTGGCGCACCAAATTGGTTTCGCTGTTGATATTGGCGTCTTCTTTCGACGTCCGCCGTTCTTCTACTTTCAAACTGGATTGCTAGCTCAAATAACTTTTCCAGTGTAGTCGGATTTCTTAATTCAATAAAGTCTTGCTTGCACTTGGGGCAGTAACCTCGGCAAAATCACTTGAATTATTTCAGGATCCGGACGGTTTCCATACAAGAGTTTGAAGACGTGAATTTTTCTTAAAATAAAGCTTGAGAGGTTTTCGATTCTTTTTGTTGATATATACTGAAAAGTTCCGTTTCTAATTTCGCACGATCCCTTACAACAGGGAAGGCTTTTAGTAGGGCAGTCTTGAAATTTTCGTAAGTATAGGTGGGACTTCCTGCTTGACCCAAGAGACTTCTGCCTATACATTTGAACCAGTTAAGCGCTTGGCCCCTCAAAGCGCTGGTAGCTAAGGTAACTTTTTGAAACTCGTGCACGGGGTAGAGCATGAAGTGGTCATCCAATTTTTCCAAAAAACTGGTTACCGGTGAGTTTCCATTAAATGTTGCTTCTGGTTTCATCGAAGCGCGCATGGTCTGGACGATGTAACCAAATCCTTCCAGGGCGGCAGCTGGCATTTCTGGATTCTGAGCCGTTTCTCTGCAGGCAGCACAGGTTCTTCTTGAAACTCGGCCATGGTTATTCTTCTTCGTTGGGCGCCACTATCAGGGTCAATTGTTTCTTCTAACCTTCTTCAGGAACATGCAAGGACCTGACTCGGAACAGAGAGCTTACTAAAGCTATGTTCAAAACTGTGGGAAGTAAACAGGATACACAAGAAGGGTATATAAAACCCTTTATTTTCTCTATAAAAACTATAAAACAAAATATAAATAACTCTCTATAAAACAAAAACTTCCGTACTTCGGAATACACAGACCCGCTACTCGGGGTCTAACGTAAATGTATAAAAAATAAAACTAAACTCTAATTTAACTTTAGAATAATAAACGTGGAAGATTGGCCTTATATTAACAGGAAGCGTATGTAGTACAGAGAACTGTGAACACTACAATACGTTTAAATTTATCAAGAGGATTAAAACCTCTGGCCTGGAAGGCAACCAGCAACTGCGTAAACTTCTAAGGTAAGCGGCCTGATTCGACTCACTGCTTCCTCTCTCTCGCTTGGCAAAAAGCCACAACTTAAATACTTGGCGTTCGCCTGACAAACTTTGCATAAAAACCTTAACGCTTATAATTCTGGCCGGAAGTAGAAAATAAGAAGTGATAGTAAAGATTTAAAATAAAATAAACGTTAGTAAAACTTAAGATCCTTACAGAGTGAGTGTAATTTGTTTTACATTTAGCCCTGATACGTCCCATTTATAATAGAAAAGTGCAAACGTAGTGAGGTAATGTATCGGCAAAAATAAAGCATCCCAATATTTCTTGGATACACTCAATTCAATTCGAAACTTGCATCCAGCATTTGAATTTCCAGCCTCAGAAGTAGTAGTTAAATCTTTTACAGACATATCCGATTCCCCAAAACCACTCGCCTTATATATATTTTAAGCTCCAAAATGTGCTCGAATACAACTGGTTAAAGTAAAATACTCATTGGAGACAAGTGTATTGTAAAGGTCTAGCTTAAGAAATTAAAACTATGTGACTCACAGTGAACACTTAGCTTGACAGAAGCAGCTATAGGTTCCGTAGTCATGATGCTGGATGCTTCACAACGATACACCCCATTGTTATCGGAAGCGTCCACCCGGAATGTATGGATGTTTGTTGTTACATGACCGCTGACAGTATATGTGGCGTCTACTTGCACATTCCCTCTTTTCCATATAAGATAAGGCGGTGGATTTCCTCCGCGTGTGATGCAAGCCAATGTCAATGTATCTCCAGATGTTACAACGTCTCCTTCAATATAGCCTTCAATTTGGGGGATTCCTGGAGCGTCTGAAACCCAAAAGTCGATTAATGCTTTTAATAATTTGAAAGTACATCATCAATAGAATAGATTCCCATATTAAAATGCTGTTTAAAAGTAAGGACTAAATTAATAAATAACAACATATTCTAAAATTTATGTCATTAAAGTTATATGGGGCATTACGTACATTAATTGTTCAACTTTCATATTCATGTTATGAGATTGACGAAATAGCATATTTTTAATTAGTTTTTCATTATTTTGAAACTTTTGCATAATTAACTACAATAGATTTCAAATACCATAAACAGTACATTTATAAAATATTTTAAAAATTTTAAATAGAACTAAATTAACAACTTATCTTTAATAAATAAAAAATTAATAAAAATAACTTTATAATATTATGCACTGTCCAAATTCTAACAGCAAATGTAAATAATCTATTTTGACAATATAAATATAATCTCACAATGAGACAAATTATAACTACACAGTAAATAACCATAATGGAATTGTGACCACTTAGAATATCCTCATACGTAATGACAGCTTGGAGTAATTCTTTCTAGTACCTCTATTTACTCGGTTATTCTAAGTCATATAATATATTATGCTGAACAACATACTAGAAACCATCATGTATTATAAAGTACGTTCAATGCATCACAATAGATTATTTTAATTAATGTTAATGGTAGCTAGCTAAAAGAATCTAATTAATCCCTCATTAGCAATAATATCCAGCGCATTTATTCTTGAAGCAAAATGAAATATATTCGTTTCTTATTCTTGAAAAAATGTTATTAAGTTTAAAAAAAAATTTCCAAAAAATGTTTTAGAAGAACTGCATTATAAATTATTTTGGGGATTTTTTAAAGGATTTATCGACTTACAAAACATTGTATTTTTAAATATATAGCTTATGCAATAGCAAATTGTACATAAAAATCACTGAAAGCTCAAATAGTTTCTTCTCACACTATAAAATTTTAATATGTGCTCCATTGGTCATATAATATACTTTAAAGTGATAACCGATCTCTACTGTGATCGGTTATTATTTGCTTTGCTTTTAATGGCTTTAATTTATATGTTTTTAATGGCTCTTCTCAATATCTTCACAGCACCGTTAGTGCGTCCCCTGACCAGTGGATGTACGTACGGACATATAATCATTGGATGTGTGATGTAAACAAAGGGACATGTATAAAGCATTTGTAATGTGTGAGGTAAACTTGGCGGGTTCATTCTCGAGTATTTTTTCATTGTCGAGTATAAGTTATTACTTAATGCATAATATTTTTAAATATACAGTTTTTAAGAACTTAATTTCTGAAATCTCGTAATATATTTCTAATAGTCGTCTATAAAAAGAGTTTCATGGCTAAATTTACTTCACAAAAAGTAAAATTTACATATTTAATAACTGTAATGCATATCTTAAAGTTGACATGGACTATAATTTACATAAATCTTTAAATTATATATGTATTTTGCTTATTACATTTTATTTATTTCTTTAAGGTGAAGTATATATATGTTGCTTTCCAAAAGTTAAGGAAAAATCACAAAAATAGCGATAACTCGACCAAAAAACAAGCCAGTTGGTATAAAATTTGAATATGTTGCCAAATTAGAGTTGTTGAGTAAAACTGCAATATGAAAATTAGTGGAGCTGTAATCGGAATGAATCATATGCAAGTAACATAAAACTGCATGTTTGAGAGAAAGCCTGTAAATTTCGCTGTGATCCTGAGTTAAGAAATCTGGAATAGCCAATTCGTAACAATGACCTCGAGGCACCATTTTCTCTGAGAACTGCGACTGCGATTGGGAGGCTAGATGCAGAAAAAAGTCAGACAGAAGTAGCCACATGGCTAAATGTGAGTCTTTCTGTGGTTCATAGATTTTGGCAACCATTTCTAACCACAGATTTGGCATTCAAGAAGTTCAGCCGAGGATGGCCAACCGCTGTGACCAGCGTCGATGACCGATATTTGTTGTTATGCGCATAAAGGAATAGAAACGGCATCTCCGACTCACTTCAAATGAAATCAACTCAATCACGGAATGTGGACAGGTTGCAGTTCCGCTTGATAAGTCGTGATTTTTCTATTGGAATCAACAATTATTCCATTGTTTATAGTCTTTATTTTTGCATTTTATTAATGATTCGATTTTAATTATTTACAAATCTCAGATATATATATATATATATATATATATATATATATTATATATCCGTAAACTTAAAAAGATATATGAACTTTAAGAAGCTCAAACAAACCATTAAAACAAATGCACTAAAATTTTCAATAAATTTTTGTGAAATAATATTATAAATAAAGTGAATAAATGTGTAGACGGTTTGGAACAAATACACATAACAAAGTCCAAACGCATATCTAGTCAGATTGCATAATTACAGCTCTAACTTCAATAGGGAACATCGTCTTGAGCCTCACTGAACAAAGTTAGAGCTTCTGCTTTCAATTCCCAAAAGAAAGCTTAAAGCTAAATCTTTGAAATAATGAAGTCTGACGAAGTAACGGGGAAACACTTTCATGAGTAGGATTGAAGCAGCTGGACATAAAAGCCTCAAAAACAAGAGCACATAAAGAGTGCAACTATGATGCTAAATAAAACATACCACTATGTCAAATTCTCTTCTCTGATTTTTATATTTAATCTTTTGGGCTACGAAGATACCCGCTGCATGTTTTCATGACTGACAATGTTAGAAAACATAAGCCATCAGTCACTGACTTGTGGCTTTCTTGGCCTTTGTCCAGCATCCTTGATGTGGGCATAGCAATATATTGATATTTTGCCTTACCAAGCTTGTCGACCCAAAGAGTAAGCATTATTCTTCTTTTAGTATCCTGAGGACTTCGGAACATTTTGTGATCCAATTCTTCCATCTTGCGATCCAATTCCACATCTTGTGATCAATTTCTTAGCTCAGGATCTCTGTGAGATATTAGAGATAACGCAATTTAAAATCTTCAAATCCCTTTATGAGTTATGTAAAGGAGGAAATAAATTGTAGAAGTCCCAAGCAATTTTCATGCTGCATTTTTTGTTGACTGCTCATATTGACAAAGGATTTAGTAATAATATGATTTAAGTATAAAATATTAGAAGAGCTTATTATTTGATAATGCAGGCTGTAATAGCAACTTGACAGTACGAAGCAAGGGTACGATTTAAATCCCATCCGAATACAGGTTTTCATATTTATTTTGAAACTGTATATATTATATTTCTTTTAATAGGGAATTGTTATGCATTATATAAATACAACTAAATATTCCTTAAATGATTAATCGTAGACTCAAGATTTCCTTTTAAGAAATAAATCATATCAACTTACAGACTTTCAGATTACGACAATTTAGTTTCCTGACAACGTTTGTTAAAAATACACGAATTTTTTGTTTAAATTGTCTATAATGAAAACTTCAATTACATATTATTTTTTTATTTCTCTGAAGATCTTACAGCGAAAAACAGTGTTGGAAATATCCTTTATTGATGGCAATAATCATGTAAGTGTTTCTAAAAATTATGAAGAGTTATATTTTAAAATAAAAGCATTTTAAACTATATCAATAAGCTATATTATTAAAAAAGTTAAAGATTTAAGTTGCTTTTAAATCGCTAGGTTTGCTGAGAAGTTGTAATTTTGAAAATGAATCAAAGACTATATTTAAAAACCTATGGAATGGCAGTACTCTGGAAATTGGCTGTTTGCTAGACCACGTGGAAGATAAGTTAAAGATATTATGCTTCATGTATCAGAAGCAATTGCTAAATTGTATGTTTGGTAGCAAAATATAGCCATGTGACATAGTATAAAACGTTATAATTCAAACATTTTTGAAAAACTGAAAAAAAATTAATCCTTGCGTTAAAGGTTTTGTGACGTGTAAAAATCTCAGCTGGAAAACATTTAATGAAAATGGATGACAAAAACATTTAAATGTGGACAAAGGAACCGACGATCAATTGTTTATGAAACTGAATTTCCTTTACCATAAAATTTCGACTTTTACATTGGACATTTAAAAAAAAATAAGTAAATAAATAAAAAGATAAAAAACCTAAATCCAGATCTTCTACATTGATCTTTATCAAACGTAGGAAGGTATCTCTTCGAAATTTATATTCGAAAATTCAACATGTGTTGTATTTCTAAATAGCTCCCAAACATTTTAATTAATAGCATTTTGAATAATTTTCATCATACGAAGATTTTTTTTGATTGATTATAATTCGTCTCCTGCTAAGAACGTTTTCTCGCTGAAATTCTTTCTCTCTACGGGATCCATCATAATAAAATTGAGATTGATATACTTGTATTAAAATGTATTACCGAACGAAACTGTTATAGTCTCAGGGTTTTACTTTTTAAGTTATTCGGCTATTTTCTTATTATCAATTTTGATAGTTTTCAATTTTTAAAAATAAATTTGTACTTTATTTTAAAGCTTATTCATTAAGCTTCCCAAAAGTACTTTTATTTTGTCTTCCTGGTCTTCAGAAGCAAAATTATGGCTGTTTTTGCTCTAGGCCATAAACCGGAAGTTTCTGTTTAACAACCCGGAAGACGATGTCTTAGATGTAGGCGGAGTACTCTAAGCAACTTTTAAATGAGGTGGTGTGGTGTGGTGTATTTAATCATGGCAAAGCACACTAGGGCTATCTGCCTAAGGGGAGGGATGCCTTTCGTGGAGGACTTTCTAAGGGAAACTGGCTCGTATACACGTTACACATGGGGAAAACCACGAAAACGCCCATGCAGCCAGCCCGTTCGCGGGATTCGAACCTCGGACCGAACTACCAGTGTTCAGCGTCTTTACCGCTCGGCCGCTGGTGGGCACTTTTAAATGAGAATTTTTCATTTCAATACTTTCGTTAATGTTCAAAAATTTATTACATTTTTTTGTTATTAAGTGCTCGGGAACAAGATTAATTTGGCGTTTAATTTTCATACTCAGCAACATTTTCTTTTTTTTCTGTTTGTTATTGTTTTCTGTTACATTATATTGTAATTAATTTTTGAAAAACTTGAATTTTTAAAAATTTTCTGCTATCCAAAAAAAGTAACTGAAACATTACTGTAGTAATTTTATGAATCTTTCCATGAGTATTCTGTAAAATATTATGAATTAAATTAACTAAAATTTCAAGTTTATGTATACGCCTAAAATGTTTACAGACAATGCTTTAACTGACAGGAGAGAAATTTTTCAAAAAATTGTTAGTGCATGCCCTCAAACAGCTATATTTAATAATTTTGTTTTATCACTTTGATGTTAGTTCATTTAATTTCTTATACCTTAATAAATATAAGCAATAAAAATAAAAATGAAATAGTGATAAATAGTTTTGCCGGAACATATCTAGTAATCCTGAAATTTAGCACCTTTTAACCCAAAATGTAAGGGAAAAAAACCAAAATTATACTTTGAGTTATCACCTCATATTTATCACCTATTTCCATCATTTTAAATAGTACTCTACTAAATAACATCCATAATAAATTTATTTGTACTATGCTGCAACATCTGGGTGTCGAACGTTGTAGGATACCTTAAACTGTACCTGTATGTATGCCTGTGATAAATCTTCAAAAATCATCTTCGTTTTGATACTCTACATATTTGAAAATCATCATCATTCGATTATCCTTTAAAATATAATGACATGATTTATCTTGTAGATTATATGAGATTCTTCGCAAACTTACGTAAGACATTAATGGCGACTGAGCATCTGAGGTATCTCTCCAAGGCTGGGTGACGAGCTTCACAGGAATAGATAGCACCATTGTCGTCCACCCCGGGATAGAGAGTGATTGAGCTGGTCGTCGTATAACGACGATGTTTGTCCTCGTCGAAAGACATCTGGGCATCTTCTGCAATGAACGTTGTATACAATTTAGATCATTTTCTTCAACTGACTCTTCATTAAAACTAATGTACTGAAAATAAAAAATAAAGTTACTTCATTTCTGAATGGTGTACACTGAATATAGACTCAGGAAGAATTCACAAATTTATGGTAGATTACAAATATAAATAATAGCTAATAGAGCGGTACGGGAGAAAAAATATTCATTTTTATTACGATAATTTAAATTTGTTCGATATTTTTTCACAACAAGGACTTAAAAATCAAGCATTATATTTAGTTAATGTTCTAACCAGAAAAAACATCTTTAGAATTATTTTGATCATTAATGAATTTTTGTTCATTTCATAACTAATTTATAAATTAAGCTATCAGCAGTGAAGTTTTGGAGAGGAAACTTATCAGAAGTTTCAGTTATTTATCAGCAGTTTCTATAACTTCAGAATTATTTTGAATTACTGTTTATTTCATAAGAAATTTATAAATCCAGCTATCAGACAACGAAATTTGTAGAGGAAATTTATCAGCATTTTTAACAATTCTGCGAAGCAAAATTTCCGAAGGTATGATAAATTAACTGACACATATTTTAAAGATGACAAAAAAGAAATTATCAGCTTTTCTTTTTCAAACAAATCAAATATAATAATACATAGGTTTACGGGCACTAAATATCAAGTCGTTTTGAATTACAATATTCTTTCGAAGGTAAGGAGAGGAATAAATTTCAGAAACATTTGTGAGATAAAGATCATTGAGTTCAAAATAAACCAGTCAATGAAAAATGTATTTAAGAATTGCTTTGCATATATCTATAATGAAAAATATAATATGAATTTTGTTGTAATATATTTTACATCCATTATTTATTTTAATTGCATTCTTCTGGATCCTTTAGGAAGCAGTGCAATCTTGTGATTTTATATTAATTTTATTTATATCTGAATTAATTTAATTTATGTCTATATTTCCTTCATATTCTTTTTGTATAGTTCTGATTGCCCATTGTTTTGCCTTCACAATTAGGTTTCCGATCGTAACCAAATCAAATTTGTGATTTTGTATATTTTAATCAATTTCTGCTTCTCTGATAAAGAACTCTAGTCGGATAATATGTTATTCAATTTTCTTCATGATAGATTTTATGTTCATTTTGCCCGGGTATCGTGACAATTTCATTCATTTCTAGTTTCAAAAACCTTACATTTATTTTATGTTCAGAAAAATAAATTCTTAACTTTTGCGTATTTGCGAAAGCAACAAAAGGATTTAACTTCCCATTTATTTTATTTTTTCAAATATTACTTAGGTCTTCCATGTCTAGTGAATAAACAAAGTATAAATACTTGTTTAGACACATTTTTCTGATATGTGTTATTGCAATACAGATACATTAACACCAGTATGGTCGAGGAAAAGGTAACCTGGAAACACTGAGAAAAAATGTAAAAGGTGTACATTGGCTAAATGGTGTATTACATAAATGAAAGCACCTACAGTTGATCCATCCATGGTAGAACTCTTGTTGAAAAACAAGCCACGAAATTTCATTTTTTTATAAATTTGTATTTCTATATTTATGAAGGGTTTTATGTGTTTTTTGGTTGCTTCTGGGTCCTTTAGTGCTTAAAAAATCTCATGTGGACACCACATGACTGCCTCATACGGCCTATTAAATTACACATATTTTTTACTGCATTTTATTTGGTGTCCGCCGAAAACATCGTGGCAAAAACATCGCGGACGAAACCGTCGCGGAGGAAACAACGCAAGGAGAAAACGTCGTGGTGCAAAACATCGTGGGAGAAAACATCGCAAAGAGAAAACATCGTGGTACAAAACATCGCGGCCGAAAATAAAGCGGTTCAAAAACTTCGCGGTTTAAAACATCGTCGTCAAAAATATCGTGGTAAAAAATAAAGTACCTATAAATCATCGCATGACTATAACATCGCAAAACATATGCTTTCAGGTTTTGAAAGTTGTAAATGCATGTTCGTACAAAGATCAGAGAGCGCAGGAAGAAAAGAGGAAAATTTCATATACTTCATATATTTGAATGAGCTAATAAATTTTTGCCGAAAAAATAAGAAGAAAATTTAAGCTTTTAACATTTCAAAATGAGTATAAAATTAATGCAACTTAAAAAGCTTAATAGAATTTTAAATTTACATAGTTAATTAACAAAGATCATTAATAAATTAAATATTCTTTATAAAGTTTAACTGACAATTTTTCATGAAATATGCAGTCTAAAAATGCTTAGAAAAAGGAAGATAAATAACTGCATAAGATTACATTCACATTTCCTTTCACATCTGTTAATCTGATGTTGCTTTAATGAAAATTGCATATTGTTTTGTTTCTGTTTTTTCATAAGTGTCGTTAACATTTTCATGTATAGCATGACATCAAATTTTTTGTCGATTTGTTTTTTTGGATTTTTTTGGATGTCAGTTACATAATATGTCACTATGCGATTTGAAAAACCCATGTATGAGATGATTTGTACGTACTTTATTTTTTACCATGATATTTTTGACGACGATGTTTTTAAACTGCGAAGTTTTTGAACCGCTTTATTTTTTCCCCACGATATTTTGTACTACGATGTTTTCGCTTTGCGATGTTTTGTACCTCGACGTTTTCCCCTTCGTTCTTTTCTGCACGACGTTTTCGTCCGCGATGTTTTCGGCTGCAAGCACTTCATTTCAATTTAATTCCTCGAATTTCCATTAGAGAAATATTTCTCATTCAATCAATTCCGTTCTCATTTCGCGGAAAGGTAAAGATATATTAAGAAATTAAAACATCTTCATTAAAATTTGTAAGATACAGAAAACCAAAAAAAACCAAATACACTTTAAAAAGCAGTCAAAAACAATATTTACAATTAAAATTGGAGTTTCTACCCAAAAACAAGCAATTCAATCAGCGAGCAGGAAGACAGATTTTCGGTGCACAATACTGAAACTTTACTTTTGTATCCCATTCGGCAAAAAAACACTGATGTTTGTGCAGATAATTGCCTTAATTCACTATTCTACTAAGAATTTTAAATATAAACAAATAGCAGCTTCTTTAGGCTTAGTAGCATTTAAAAATACTTTTAAATTGCTCATAATTATATAACTATTGCATGCAGTTTAAAAGCATAAAAACCTTAACTGGAACATAACACCAATATAATTCAATCACTTTTAAAGCAAAAAATGAACAATTCTATAACTATTGCATGCAGTTTAAAAGCGTAAAATCCTTAACTGGAACATAACACCAATATAATTCAATCACTTTTAAAGCAAAAAATGAACAATTTACCAACATATAAGGAGAAAAAAACTGAGCTCACCAAGCCGAGTAACAGAGTATGTATATATATATATATACATTTATATATATATATATATATATATATATATAATATATATATATATTTAATATATGAATATCTGTATATATCCAAACATATATGCACATCTCTATATATATATTTAAAGTTATTCCCCTTTAAATATATGTATAGAAATAAATATATGTTTGGTGTTGCCGATCAGAACCAAAAAAGGAGGTGCATAAATACGTGTTACAGCAGCCCATATACAAAACTTCAAAGATCTGAGGCTACTCGTTTTTTAGTTATGCGAAATACATACATATGTAAGTACAAAGTCACAAAAAAATGCCTCTTCTGAATCCATTTTAAATCAATCTTATAATCTGTTTTGGGAAAAAGAGTCCTTTATTCTGTCCGTATGTGCAGATGTAACACAAAAACATCATCCGAATGGAAACGAGAGCGGTCAAAATGGATATTTTCGTTGAAATGGTATTCCAGAAATTTTTCGTGATTACAATGCTTTCTTTACTCCGTACATGGAAGTAGAAATTTAAGACTATTGCGTGGTCTTACCGAAGTATGAAATACTAAACCGATACATCTAGGTAAAATTGACTTTTTCTTTAAATGAATTAAGGTTTCTCGCAAATATATACACAGAAGCATTGCAAGAATCAGCTTAAATTGCGTATAGAGTAGCACGCTTTCTTGTGGTGGAGGAGGAAGGTTTTTCTCTGGAAACGTACCAGAGGTGTAATTATATTTTGTCTCAAATTTAGAAAGAACAGTAAAAAAGGAATTTAATTGTTTTGCCATCCATATGATTGAAAAGAATTCAACAGTATAAATATTTTCATGGCGGAAGTACTTTGAAGACAGAATAACGTTGATTGATCAACAAAGCATGATCTGATACTGCGGTTAAGAATATCAGCTTTTTCCAATCCCTGAACAGACAATGAACTGTAACTATTATTCAAACTTGATTTCCTCAAAAAGCAGTAGATAATTCCAGATAGACAATGCTACAGGACAGTGCTATGCTGATACTACACTTGTGACATCATACGTTTGAATTTTCCGGGATAATACTTATAATCTCTCTCGGTAGCTCGAACTTAACTCGGGTGATTTGTAAGCTTTCTTAACCTTTCTTAACCTTGAAAAAACAGCTTCCTAGACGAGGCAGCAGAGCTGCAGCGGATGTCAGAAAGCAGGCTGTTTAACCCATTTCTCACAATTTTCTGTGCTTATTTACACGGTAGAATTCCACTGTAAAAAACGTGTTTTCACGCAAGCAGTCCTAATTTTTAAGAGGGAATATTATAGGATCCATAGTATCATCTGATTCTAAAGGAAAAAACTAATCTTAAAACTCTTCAACCATTTTACATTTAATTTTTCAGAAAGGTTTCATTTCTCTAGAAATCGCTAAAAATGGTATACAAATTTAAAGAAAACAACGTATAAGTAATTTACTAAATTTAATATATTTTTCACTATACAGCTTAACTTTGATGTCTTCTAATCAGTTTTTTTTCCTTTAATTTTCTCATTTAATTGTAATTTTTCAGTGCCCATAGTTTCGAGGTTTTTAGTTTTTTTTTTTCCCCCTCTAACGACCTTTTCCTTTAACGATTATAGATGTGATATTGTTTTATTAA